ACACTTATAAAAAGACACCTTCTATCTTAGTATAACACAATTTTAAGGACCAAGCCACTATACACTTCTGGGACCTTTGAGCAGTGCTGGTCTTTATGTCTGAGCACATGGGGATGGGGGAGTCAGCTGTGCTCCAGCCTCTCCCCTCCCCGACTCAGGTTGCCTTGCCAAGGAAATCCATTGATGGGCTCCAAAAGTACTCAAGTGCAAACCAAGAGATAAGAGCATGGACCACCGGATGGCAAAAGCAGGGGAAAAGGAAAACGGCAGTATCGCTGTACCACAAAGGGCAACTTACAGTGTCATTCATATTTCAAAGGATATAAAAGAACATAAAACTTTGAACATGGCATAACTGCACAAATACTCACAATCAGTGTTTCCCCCACACTTACCAGTATACCAAAAAGGCAGAGGAATAGTTACACTTCCAGCTAGGTGGAACATGCTGCTGAATCTAAGTCAATTAGCTGGGGCACCTATTCTGCAAGCTAACAGGAAGGAGAGAACTAAGATTTTTAATTCCTTATTATATGGTAATGATGACTTTGATGGCAAAATTTCTGACACATCTTTGCAATAATAACCCAGATTAGATGATATTCCAATAGATTATATTCAATACAATTTTGATTATTTTAAAATTGAAGACTTACTAACCCATGAAAATACTAAAAAAGTTATATTAAACAAAAAATATGAGCCAGGAAGCAAAAATACACAGCTTTGCAGGTTTGCTCTATTTGCTTATGGTTTAACACTATTAAAACTATTATATATATATGTTAGAAAATAAGAACTGCAAGAATTACAGTATTCTGTCTTGTGTATCACCTTCCCAGAGTGGAAATTCACAGTTTGATGGATGATTAACATTAGGGAAAAAATATTCATCTGATTACCAGCAGGAGAGAGATAAAATGAACACAATATATTGCTGAATTTAGCCTTATAATCACAAGAAGAATTTTTACAGATATATTACAGCAGGGAATACTCCCAGTTTTACACACAGGAATTTCCTGAATCTAATATGTCATTTATTCCTGGCAAAGTCTGTCCTTTGTCTACATATATTTCATTTTTCCCAAACAGAACAGCACTAAGCTACATAAGTGCTGGACTGATTTTTGCCAGATTTAACTACTGTATACAGTAAAGCTTTAATAACGCATTACATCTTATCATCTGAAAGGTGAGGTAGAGGAGCACCTTCATCATCCTACCAGTTACACAGGATGTTTCAAAGCCTACAACATACCTCATGTCACAGCAATTCACAGTGAGATTTACTCTTGAAGGCTCTATTTTTTACTTTGTTTTGTGAAGATAAATAGAATAGAGTTAGGTGTCCTGACGAAGTCGAACTCTATACAAGGGAAATGTGAACAGGAAAGTATTTTAATCATATAGCAATCATCCTTTTAACTGTATCTTCCCCATGTCTTTCTCAATACTATTTTTGACAGTCTTACAAAATTGTAGATCAGTCCACCAGGCCTTATTCCCATTACAGTCAACAGTCCAGAGACTTCCACTACCATCACTTTTCTGATGAAGATTAAACTTCCTTTCACTTCTATTCTTGCAGTTCTTTTTGCTTTATTCTGCAGTGAAGTCTTATCTAACTTCATTATCTATTGTTGTAAAAGCAACTCTGCCGTGACAAATGCATCTCTTCATTGTATGAATATGGAAACCGTAGACTTGGACAGAAGAAATGCGGAATCAAGCTCTCATAATAAGCAAGCAGTAGCATGGAAAAAATATGATAAATATTTTGTTTAAAATTATTCTATGCTATTTAGACATTTCTACTTTATGGACAAAATTCTTTTCCATCCCTCATGCCAAGCACCGGAAATCACTCTTTGGCTCTAAGTGTTTCTCAGGATTTTAGAGGAAGGGAATCTACAACCGCTATGACAATCCTGGGCTGCAGTGGCAGTGCTGCTCCTGCATCATGGCTCCATGATCAACAAAGCCATGGAGCTCTACCTCTGCCTAGCAGGTACTGGGTCTTTTCCTTACCAAACTGTTCTTCACGTTCAGCACCACTTCGTGGAGGCAGAGAAGCCCTGGACTGCTGAGCTCCAACTCTCTGGAGATGCCCAGACCCACCATTTGAGTTCAGCGTGACATTCAGCATGAGTTCATGCCGCCTGTGATTTCTGCCAGTGCTGTCAGCTGACGCCCCAGTACCACAGCCCAGCACTGGGCGTATGCAGCTCATCTGTTTGAAGTCTGTCTAAATTTTTGACTCACAGAATGACTGTTGGTTTGCATTGAGCGACTCATGGATCACGCATGCCATTACTCAGAGGTATCAGATTCAACATTATACTTGCAGTTCTCACTTATTTCTCTCAGGCTAGTTGCCTGTAATAGTGAGAAAAAGCTAGATGTCCCTCAAAATAAAATTAAAAAAAAAAGATTTTGCATATTTGTGGTGTTGTTCCAGTGCTCTGAAAATTATGTACATTTTAATCCAGTATGTAGACGATGCACTTGACATTATTTTTATTTAGTAGCCGGGCCATGATACCAGTTTCCAGAATGAATGCCCAAACAATGAACATTTTTGTGAGCATATGTTCAATAATTACAGCTAGGTCAGCTGCTTAAGATTGCAGATCTTCTTTTACAGTATTTCCTTTTCTGAGCTTATTTACATAAAACAAAAATAGACCTTTAATTTCAATAAATTACAAACTCTTCTACCGTATTTTGTAACGGAACCGGGGCATCTAAATATTTTCAAATAATCTTTCATTATAAGGAGATGATTTCAGTCACTCCAAAGTGCTACTTTTAGCTTCATCTGCTCTACAGATTAAAACCCATGCACAGCAGAGGTGAGTTTTTAAATAGTATTCCTCACATTATAGAAGAAATCATGTTTGAAATTGCTTCTGATATTCCCCTGCCTGTTTGTGGAAAAAGGTGTGCAGCCGAGGTCCCAAGCATCCTGATCCATCACAGACCAACCCCTTGTGTCTGAAATGCTGCTTATGGCAAAAGGTACAGGCTTCACAACACCACTGTGAGGACCTGGAACACACTTTCAGAGATTTATATTGAAACTACATTCTCATATAGCTGGTTGAAATAGTTACTGCTTGCAGAGACCGAATTTTCATTCAAACTTGGAAAAAAAATTTTAATCCTCAATATATTATGCAACCCTATGTCAAGATTGCACCGCACTTAAACCCAAGCAACGCAAGCCTGCAGCTGCATAGTCAGTTCATCAAACAGCTCTTTGGAAAACAAGAATTTTATTTCCATGATTTTGCTGAATTCAGGATTAGAAAGCACGTAAAAAAATCTTTTACTTCATATGGAAAGATCTCAATGGCAGAAAAATTCCTAAGTATTGTCATGTTGAATTATTCCCAAACAAGGTTTACAATTTTCAAATACGTAAATGTCTAAACTTGGACAACTAAATCCTCATTTACTCTCATACATTATTGGGTTGGATTTCAGAGATTTTGAGAACTCTCAGTTATCTCTACTGCCAAGGGAGAACTTTGTGTGCTCTCCTCTGTAAACCAAGCCACTTGATGTGATCAAATACAACATGCTGTCCACACAAAGATGACTTCACTTTTGAAATTTACTGACTAAGCCTCTGGCATTAGAAGGTGCTGGTCAAAATAATGGTCATTAACCAAATTGTGGATTTGCTTGAAAAGTGTGAGCTGCAGCCTGCATCCCATTGCTCGCTGCAGTAACACCAATGACCTGCATTCCATTACTTCAGAATACACATGCTTCGCCTATTTAGTTTAGACAGAAATTAGTGTTGCATTATGCTGCCTTGAGATGAACCAAAATGAATTTATCTCTAGCTATTCACTTTTGTATTTTAAATATTATTCTCGGTCTCACCTTTCCTCTTGCACCTGCTATAAACCCCCTCATCTCAGACCCTAAAACGGGAGGACCACAGCTACAAGCCACTTTGAAAGTCACCTTTAACTTCAGAGCATCTATTTCTCCAAGACAAAAAGACACTTGGTGTTAGTGAAGTATAAAATATTTTCCTTTTGCTATCCAATAGGTGCATATGATCATGCAAATAACAGGAAATATTCTTGTTAATACAGCACCATCAGCAAGATGCCAACCAGTTTCAAATCGTTGCCGACCTGAGTATCTGCAAAGTGAAGCTTACTTCTTAAAGTTCATAATATTAATAAAAGACGCTCACAGGCTGCTGGAGGTTTCCAGCTATAGAAAAATGTAGGAGGATACAGTAGGGCCAGCCTTACCATTGAGAGACTCTGTTCAAGAACACAGGATATTTATCTGGGGTTTATGCTATCGACATCAGAAAGGACATCCTGGGGTCACTGCTACCATTTTGCAAGGAAGACCTGACGTCTGTACTGTTGCACTCTGGGTAGCACAATCATCAGCGCACGGTGAAATTATTACCAGTCAACCAGTATTCAACCCTGAGGCCGCCTGCAAAGCTTGAAGTCTTAAGCTGTTACTTCTCTTTAACACGATAATCTACAGCTCTCTATAAAAGCATCTAAAAAGGTGGAACACACCTTGTACTACCGCTCTCATAATCTCTGCCATTTTGATAATGAAAAGAGCTGCTAAAAATCAGCTGCAGCTGGCAGAACTAATACCTGAGACAAAACTAGGGAGACGTTGGGTTTTTTCATTCTCTCTTATGCCTGAGGAAATAGTGTATATGTGGCTCCTTGCCCATCCACTCAAACGCTTAAGTCACACACCTATGCCTCTGGAGATGGGTGTTTGTGTGTGTGGGAGGCAATGCACAGGGATGAGGTGAGGTCTGGCAGGCAGCACCATGGCCTGCTGAAACCTCAAACCACACTTCATGTACACAGTTTAGTGCTCATTTCATCCACAAACCCAAACTGGTGTCCAGTCCATTTACGTACCCAAACTCTCAATTGCCCAATTCATGTACAAAAACCAGGACCCTACTGATAGGGACGTCTGCCCCACTTCCTCACCTGACCACGTTGGGGTGCTCGAATGTCTCCAGGTGCCTCAAAACTGCCACCTCTCGGATGGTGGACAGCGGCATCCCCTCCTCGCTGGTCTGCACTCGTACCCGCTTCAGCGCAACAAACCGACCTCCGTTCTTCAAGTCTCGGGCTTTGAACACCTTCCCGTAGGCTCCTTCCCCAATCTCAGCCACACATTCATACTGCTGGTCAGCTAGGTTTGTGCTGTCCTTATCCATGCTGGCGCTGCTCCTCTTCCTCCCGTGCTCCAAGTGCCTCAGGGCAGCTCTCCGTCTCTCCTGCTTTCTGAAAATTAGTACTTTGCTCACGTTGCAGATACACCACGCGCTTGCTACCTCTGCCAGAGGGGCAGTAGGAAGCTCTTGCCCTCCTGTTCCCGTTTCTCTTCTATACGAGCCCCAATGTGCCTCCTCTTTCGGCCACCGGGAATTATCATACAGTCTCTGGAAGCATTGTCTGTTTAAAGTCAATTAGATCTGAAGAACAAACCAAGCAAGAAAAGTTAGTTTAGTTTACTTCATTACTTTGCACTGTTTAAAACCAGAGAAAATTAAGCTAATATAGTACATAGCTACATGCAAAGCAAAAACGTGGTGCAAAGTAATAGGTGAACCACCAGGGTGACACGTGTATCAACGTCCCTGCACGCCTGACACAACACTGTAGTTATCATGGTCTGCACAGAAGGCTACAACACACAGCTACAGAGCAACTGTGTGCTGTGGGATTTTACTGAGCAATGGGCTGAATAGGACAACCCTGTGAGACACAGATGATGGGGGTGGCAGAACTACCCATGCACGTGTGAGAGAAAGTTATGTCCAGGAGCTTATGGCAGGATTGCGGGACTCAAAGATTTCATGATAGAGTCTTGGAAATATATGCCATGCTATATTACTGTTACTTATTTGTAAATGATAGCACTTGGAGGTGAATTCAGCCTTGATCTGCTCTCCCCTGTGTTAAACCCTGCATGAACACACTGCAAGAGAAAAGTTCCTGCCTCAAAGCGCCTGTGGGCAGAAGAAATATGTACACATTTAAATTACGATAATAATATGTTACCGAGCATTGTGTGCTAGAGGTAGATTCAGAAATGTACACTTCAGCAAACTTATGAACATGCAAGGGTTTTGGCCACGGCTACTGCTACCACTGGACGCGTGACTGGCAGTTCCTCGCAGAAGAGTGTGATGAAAGGTGGTCTTCAGGAACAGCACGCTGTGCTGTGTAGCGCCTGAGGCTGCAGAGCAGAAGCGCTTCCTTCTGCATCCAGTTTCATCCACACCTTCTGCAGGACTGTGGGCAAATCCTCTCCCCTCACAAAGCTCCACATCAATCCTCTCCTTTACCCCTGCCCCTTTTTAATATAATGACATTGTGACCTCTGGGGCTGTAACCCTCTCCCATACCGCATTTTTACCGTGCTGGGATTAAAGAGCCCCAGACAGCTCAGCCGGGGATCCCCCAACTTGAATCCCCGCATAAAGCCAGAGGTATTTTGCACATTTATGCCGCTCTGACCCTTGGGTTGCAGATGAAAAGAAGCACAATCTGAAAGAAAACTGTGCCTTCTGCTCATCACTCTTC